CTGCTTTTGTAGTAGCAACTGGTATATCTGTCTGTACATATATGATGCATAATGGTTTTAAACATTAAAACGTATTTTAATTGTAGTCTGTAAAATGAAAGAAGCCTCATAGCTACATATGGAAAAATAACTACATGTAAATATTCATAGCCATGAAATAGAATATTGATCTTACAAAAATGAGACAAGCACTGAGTCAATACAATATACTTGGGGCTAAGGGAATTGCTACTTTACTTCCTGTCAGAAAAAGAAAGTGTAAGATACAGTTGCTTGAACAACAGAATAGAGATGAAATTTCAGGTAAAACCCCAATGGACTTGGTATTTTCACAGTGGAGAAATATGCAGGAACTGTCTCTTCTCCTCCCCCTTTTTGAACTTTAGGGTCAATTAAGAGGCTGAGCAGATCCACAATTACTTGTGCAAAGAGAGATGTCTAAGACTCGAGAAATTTCATAGAATCATAGAATGTTTTGGGTTGGAAGGGACCCCTAGAGGTCATCTAGTCCAACCCCGCTGCAGTGAGCAGGGACACCGCTAACTAGATCAGGTTGCTCAGAGCCCCATCCAACCTGGCCTTGAATGTTTCCAGGGATGGGGCCTCCACTACCTCTCTGGGCAACCCGTTCCAGTGTTTCACCACCCTCATTGTAAAGAATTTCTTCCTTATATCTAGTCTAAACCTACCCTGGTTTAGTTTAAAACCATTACCCCTTGTCCTGTCACAGCTGGCCCTACTAAAAAGATTTTCCCCATCTTTCCTGTAGGCCCCCTTTAGGTACTGAAAGGCCGCAATCAGGTCTCCCCGCAGCCTTCTCTTCCCCAGGCTGACCAACCACATCTCCCTCAGCCTGTCCTCATAAGAGAGGGGCTCCAGCCCTCGGATCATTTTAGTAGCCCTCCTCTGGACCCATTCCAACAGTTTATCAGATTACCCAGTTATGATTACCCAGTTATGGTTAACACTCTGCTAGCTGAAATGAGGACTCACAAACCTGTTCTAACATGACATAATACTCTAGTAAACCAAGGCACTCAAAACCCAGTCTGGCCTACCGCATGTTCAGAGGGAAGTCTATGTGCTCAAAACAGTAGTTCAGTAGTTCAGTTCACCCACAATACTTCCCACTGTGTTTATTGAGTTGGCTCCTTTTTATAATTATTTGGCTATTTCTAGCAGGGACCCATGAGAAGGAGGAACAAAGCTCCCCTAAGGTCATTATTTTTCAGATACCACTCATCGGTCTCCATCCGGACATCAAGCCATTGACCACTACCCTCTGGATGCGACCATCCAGCCAGTTCCTTATCCACCAAACAGTCCGCCCATCAAATCCATAGCTCTCCAATTTAGAGAGAAGGATGTTGTGGGGGACCGTGTCAAAGGCTTTGCAGAAGTCCAGATAGATGATGTCCCTTGGTTTTCCTTTGTCCACTGTTGTCACACTGCCATAGAAAGTCACTAGGTTCGTCAGGCAGGACTTGCCCTTGGTGAAGCCATGCTGGCTATCTTGAATTATCTCCCTGGCCTCCATGTGCTTTAGCATAGCTTCCAGGAGGATCTGTTCCATGATCTTCCCAGGCACAGAGGTGAGGCTGACAGGTCAGTAGTTCCCAGGGTCTTCCTTTCTACCCTTTTTGAAAATGAGCACCATGTTTCCCTTCTTCTTCCAGTCACTAGGGACTTCACCTGACTGCCATGACTTTTCAGATACCATGGAGAGTGGCTTGGCAACTACATCGGCCAATTCCCTCAGGTATTTCTTGCAATACACTGAATATCTGTGTCATATATGAATTTATATATGTTTTGTTTGTTCCACAAGTTTTGATTTAGAGTGGCATTTCCAGTTTACAACTTAAGTGGACGGTGAGTAACAGTTGCATTCACTGTTAAAAATCAAAATGTTTTTCCTGATGGTTTCAGCTGCAGCAGCTTCTGATAGGGAAAGCCCTGAGGCTCTGAACAGCCACTGGGTTCTGTTCTCTCCAGACATGGGATGACTCAGTTTCTCCATGGTGATTCATCTGGGTAATTCAGCTCTGGGTTATCAAGTCCAGAAGGGGCTCTTATCCAGCTGTATTCAGAAAGAGATGGGAACGGATCACTAGGGAGCCTAAATGAGCTTTTCCTGCAGATAGGTCTGCTGGACATACCCTTACACAGAGCCTTCTGATGAGTTTGGTACATACCCACCATCCAATCTGGTATTCAGGCAAGGAATAGCATGTTAAGATTTCAGTTTCTCGGTTATCTGTTTCCTGGGTAATAAACACTATGCTCTTTCCTTTCCCTGAGCTGAACTGGGAGTCCTCATTTATTATCTTTGGAGAGTATTAATAAAGAGATCATTCTACCCATAACACCAGTTGACGTCCCAAGTGTTGCAGGCTCAATAAAGTAGGAAAACAAGAAAAATAGACCATTTTCACAACAGACCATTATCACAGCTTTCAGTTTACCAGGATTCCCAGAGCCCACATGGCACCAGCGGCTACAAACAACTTACAAAGAGACACAGAACTGAAGTGACAACCTTCTTCAAAACCGAAGGTAGGTAGATGAGATGGCCACAAAAAGCCAAATCACTGCTAAATGAGACTGCAAGAAAAAAAGTAAAGTTTGGACCTTCTCTCAAACTGCCTCTGCCATAGAAAGGCCTGGTTAGGTCAGCAACCACTGTGGAGACAAATAATCCTGGAGGGAACTGTAAAAGATGGAACAGCGTCTGACAGGGATGGTTCTGCTTGCAAGTCACCCGAATGGCCCACATCAATAGTTTGGTGGAACCTCAGCACAAGGAACAATCACCCAGACTACCTTTTTATTCTTTAATACCTAGGATTTAATTTTTCTTTTTCTAAAGGCTCTAGAGTTGCCGAGATAATCTTGGAAGCAGGACTGAATGTAAGCCAAGAAGAGACGGCTGACTGATCAGTTCTGCAAGGTACTAATCAGTAAGAGCGATCATTCAGATGCACATAGTAATGCTTTGGATCTTTGCATTGCCAGTAAGTTGTAGATCAAGGCATGGACAAAACTAGGAAAATTTAAGCAATTTATATGCTTCTTATTGGTGAACATGGCAGAAACAGTGCTTTTGCAGCATTTTTTCCCCTTGTACTTGAAGAACTGATCACAACAGAACTCTCAGAGTGAGCCCAGCAGCGAACAGCAAGAACGTGTGATTAGTTGAATAAATATACAACCTTTTTCATTTGGTGTGCCAGTGGACCTAGCCTAATCTGCATGTGCCCCTCAAGAGAGTTGTAGTTCGCTCTGCACTTGCTCCTCCCTACCCAATTCCTCCCCTGGCTCCAAGTCACATTCGCATCCAGATTTAGCATCAGGCAGTTCCTGCAGAGTCCTTTATTGCTTATTACTGCCTCTCAGCACATCAAAGGAGGAGGAAATAAAAAGGACAAAATGCTAAGATCCTCCTTAGCAAGACTTTCAGCTGAAAATTACAGAAAATTCTTGGCAAAGGACAGAAAAAACAAACACTTGAGACAAAATTTTGCTTAAAAAGATTCTTTTTGTCTTTCATCTCTCTCTTTTAATTTCACTCAGAACCTTTAGCTAAAAAAAAAAAATCCCACAAAACTCTGTTTCTTCACAGGAATGCTCCAGCTGCTCCTTCTGCATGCAATAAGAACCTTACAGACGCCCCTTATTTCTAGTAACACAGTTACTAGCTGTGCAAACAGCTGGGATATTGACAGCAAGGATAAGCAGCAGCATAAGGACAATCAAGAAGAAAGAAATGTTCCATTGATATCCCAGAATACTTGGAAAAGAGGAAGGGGGGGTAAGGGAAAATATAACATCTCTGCAGAATTTCAAAGCTTCTGGGTGCTTCTTCAGGCCTGCTAAATCCCACCTTTTTCCTGACTTCAAGAAATTTGAGGGAGGAACCACCCTCCTCAGAGAAATGGGTTCTTTTACTTCCCATCATTGTCATTGTTGGGGAAGATCTACACAACAGGCCAGTGGCCCATGAAACTTGCCTCCCTTCTACACCAAGAGAGGAAAACAAAGGCTAAGTGACCATAAGATACAAAATTGTTAATAAGCATCCCAACAGTTAGGGTGCAGGGTTCGTATTTACATGGAAAGGACAGAAGTGCATGTGGTGGATAGGACTGACATGAGCCAATTTTTACACTGCGTAGTTCTCTCACCCTCCAGTGCCTTTCTATAGGAGCTCTAAATGATAGCTCGCACAGATGACAGATACCTCTGTTCATACTTGCATAACGAGACTATTTTCTTGGTGGCATTTATGCAGCTCATGGTACGCCTTAATTTGTATTAGAAAGCTACTATATAATTAATCACAATTAATCACCTCAGAGCCAAAACATCTGTCTAACAAAGCAAGGAGTAATTGAGCTTAGAATTTAGGATTGCATTGGGAGTAGATGATAAACTCTTCAGGACATCTTCATTTTCACATCTGGTGTTCACAACACCGAGAGCCATCAAGTGCTGCTCCCCAGCAGCGCTTCGTCAGCGCTGCCACCACTGCCCCCTGCACCCCCAGGGAGCGTAACAGCGCACAGCAGTCTGAAACTATTCATCTATTCACTTTGCATAAAACTGGTATTATCACATACCACTGATGAAAACAATCCACAAAATGAAACCAAGGAAATACATCCCTTCATTGCAAGAAGGCAACTACAAAGCTGTATTTAGTCGGGGTTGGGTTCTGCTCTCAGTTACACTGGGGAAAATGTGCTGTCTCTCTGCTGAACCCAAGCGGTTTGAGCATGATGGTGTTATATGTAGTTAAAATACATTCTTTTATTATGATCGCATTTCTTAGCCCTCTGCATGCACAAATTCAACTGTTCTTTGTTTGAAAACAAAATCTTATACCTCCCCCCCAAAAAAATCTTTTCACCTGTTACCCTGTAACGTCTTCAAAATCGGCAAGTTCGCATACACTGCATTCTTCTTAAGACACAATTAAAGAAACTGAAACAGTAACTGACCTCTTGCCGTTTGAAATTTTGAACGTATTCTTCAAACTGTTCATCTTTTGTTTCATCAGCTTTTCCTAGTTTTTGAAGTACCTGTATTGAAAATAAAAAGAAAAAGGAATAACTCAACATTTATGTCACAAAACATAACCGCTGTGACTTTCAACACTTTTGTTCTTGCTGTTAGACTTAAATAGCATTTTATTTTTGTGGGTGCTGCATGCACTACTGTTTCCAAAGTTCACATGGGAAACCATTTTGTCAAAATAAAAAAGGATGAAAGTAGGAGTACGGTGTGCGCATGTGTGTGGAAATACACCTCAAAGTATGGAGTCCTTGTGGGGTATGTGTGGTTTCTTTAACGAAGCAACTTTTCTTTTAGCAAAGAACCCTGGGGTTTCAAAGCAACAAGGAATGAGAGAAATTTGCTGGCCCTGCAAGTTGTCCTCCCATTTAGACAGAGAAAGAAAAAACAATCAAATTTCATTAGGCTTTTCTTCTGTTTATGGCTCATTACGTTGAACAGTATTAACATTATCCTTATCTGCATGATTTTCAACATCAAGTCATACAGTGAGAATAAAGAACTGTAAGGCTGCATGAGAAGTTGTTACAGCTGATGCTTATTTAAAACTGCTATTGGTGTTCATATTTGCTCCCCTCATTAATTCAGCAGTGGATTGTCATCCACTAGATAATAAATATACTGCAGTATGTCAGCAATAAGGGCTATTCACGCAATAGCAATCTCAAAAGTAATTTGACTCAGCTACACTTTACACTGTATTTAACTACAACAAATGCATCCTATTATTAAATCCCAGCACTATTAATTCATTTTAATATTGAAGACTTATATGTAGTTGCAAATAGGCTTCACCCTTCTTGTCAAACAACCCTCAAACCTTTACAGAGTACTGTACGGGGGATGAACCATCTCACACAGTGACGTTAGGATTGGTCTCCCATGACAAAATGTCCAAACTTTCCATTTTTGCAAGAAAAAAACAAAACCAAATGAAAAAAACCCCACAAAATCAAAACAGTAGCAATTAGCTGGTACTATGAATAAACATATAAACATCCCCTCCTATTCTTTTCAAGACAGTCCTGGCATGTTTTCTCTGACCACCCGCCTCTCCCAAACCCAGCCAGCCCCACACCATACTACCAGGCTGCACGGAAGTGGGGTGAGCATTGCCACAGTGGAAACCGGGGGTCACAATGATCATGAAGGTGATACAATGCTACCTGTGGACCTTGCCTGTGGAACTTCAAGGAATTTTTGATGTATTTACAGCAGAAAGACAGAAAGAATGACATCAGAGAGGAAAAAAAGAGAAAGGGTAGCCTTTTGCTACCTATAGCTGTGTTTTAGCTTTTCATTCCCCTGTCTCTTTTGGGCATTTTGGGTTGCTTTTAAGCCTGCTGACTACTTCCAAAGACCTCATATGCCCTCATCACCAATCTCTTGATAAAATATTAAAAAGTATCACATATGGCTTTACAAAGGAATCATTTAATTTAACATTTCAACTCATCACAGGCCTTCACATTGCTCCTTGTCACCAATGAGCCAAACAGACTGCCCCCGACTGTGGCATGACTTTGATCCACACCAGGTGGCTCTCTGAAAATCCAACATTTCCTTTTCAAAGAGGCGGCTTCCAGGTACGTCTCCTGACCACATCAACACATTCAAGCAATGTTCACAGGAACAAGCAGCAGGCAATAAGTCCAATAGTTAATTGGAGTCTGAGCAATTCATAACAGAGGTAACAAGCCACAGCACAAAGGCTGTCATGACAAACTCTTTCCTCTTTCCCAAAATATTAATGGCACATATCCATGTCTCCAGATGTGTACTCAGGTCCAATAGCACAAGACTCAGAGGAGGACAATCCACTTCTTACAGGACTTACCTCCTGTGGTTTGTTTTTTTAATCCTATCTCCAACTTTAAATTTCTCTACAGGTATTTAGCTGAACTGAGACTAAAATGCAGTGTTAGAACTTGGCCTCTGCAAACACCAACCCTGATCTTAATCCAGGGTTACATTAAATAACCACTAATACCACTGCTTCCCAATTTTTCTAATCCTAACCCAAACCAGAACATAAATATTCACTATAGATATGCCACGTGTTTGGAACTGTAAGTTGCAAGCCAGAGGCTTGGCATCAGCTAATGATACTCGTCCTCATGGAAGTCCTGTAGCCCATGCAACACAAACAGATAACTGGGGTTCACTTGCTCTTTTCCTAAATGCAATCCTAATTCTAACCTTAACCCCACAATCCTATATAGAGACAGTTGAGCAGACAGGGGATAGAACAAACTATTCCTCATAGGCCCCCTTCAATCCTATCCATATAGCCCCATGGACCACTCAACAAGTAGCGCAGCCTTTTACAACCAACCTTTTCCTAATTGTAAGCGTAACCTTACCACTGGTAGTCTAACCAGACAGGTGACTAGACTGAGTTTAAGTCTTAGAAACTGATCTACCCTTCAGCACTTATTTGTGCACTTCTATCTCAAAGTAGAAGTCTCTTGTCAACAGAAGTCTATGTTTGTAGTTTATTTTTGCTCGGTTTGGTTCCTACCTATAGGCTGTCTTTGGGATAGGCTTAAGGCCAGATGAAGGCTTGTCTGCATTACACACAGGTTCCTCCAACTCCAACCCCTCTTGTGGACAAGCTGAAATAAACTTTAGACACATTGTTCATCTTGTTATACAGAGTACCTGGGTCAAGATTAGAACAGGGTCTGGTTTATGGCTAGGTTTAGGAAAAGGAAAGTAGACAGCCTACTAGCATTAGGTTTAAGTATTGGTCAAGAGAAAGTAGACTTAAAATGCCCAGGTCACTGGAAAGCATCTGATGGCCCTCAAAGGTAAAATGAAGGCTGTGCTCAGGAGCAGCAAGTGCCTAACCTCCCTCCCCCTTAAGCCTCAGTTCAACCACCCTTCTAGAGAAGGATTAGATTTAGTAACAGGAATAGATCAGTTTATTGGTGGCCCCTGAGGACAGAGGGGTAAATGGGCAGTGTTCTACAACAGCATTTGAGTGCTCTACAATGTGCCAAAGAAAGGAGATATGGACAGGTAAGGGGCTAGTATTTTATTTTAGGTCTATGTGGTAGGTAACTCATATTGTGGATTTGGATTCAGGCATTTGAAAAAGAAAGAGCATAGGAACCAAAGCTGTTGATGAACATTCAATGGCCCATAGGGCTAGAATGAGGCTTGGACTCAGAGAAGGCAGGTGGCTAGCATTTTCTTTTTCTTTCTCCTTAGCATGCCCACACAGAGAAATAATATTTGGGGTGAGGAACATCTATCAAAGTTTATGAACAGCCTGTAATATATAAAATGAAATAATTTTTAAAAAATTAAAGAAACAAACATGAAATTAATCTCAAGAAATACTCTACAGACAAGTACTCTGTAGTTTTCTGAAGACTGTATAAAATAGTTGGTGAACATGACCACCCTACCCAAAAAAGAAATAGGTAAAAAGCTATGCCATTTCATACAATTAGACTAAATCATCAACCAGTAAGTCTTCTCTTAAAATTCCATAAAAAAACACCAAACCCAAACAAACAAAAAAAGAGAGAAGAATTTGAAACACCTGCTTTATTTTTTTCTTGATTTATATGTGGTCTTCAAACACGACAGCATACGATTTGCTTAATGCACTGAATTACATTAAGGATCTAAAATGAATATCAGTGCTGACCCAGCATGTCAATAAGAATATATGAACTAAATAATTAAGTCCAATTAGCATTGAGAATGCAGTAAAAGCTAAATTTGATCTGATGGTAAACCTAGATGCTGTTGAGTGAATACAGGTATAGACAAATTGTCTGGCAACATTGTAGTGAGATAAATAAATGATGGATTCTACACAAACACATACAATTTGAGTAAGGACATCAAGCATGTCTGATACCATTCATAAATGTCATCAACAGCATGTCTAGACACAAAATGCAATAATATTTCCATTTGGAGATGTACCTTGAGTAACCCTTTTGGAAAACATAAGACTAAACAGTTCCCCCTTTAAAGGCATCTAAGTACCTTCACTTATCAAATAATACAGTTAAGTTCTATGAGGATCTGAAGTGTTAGGAAGAAAGAAATCAATAATTTGCTGATCATGAATTAAAACGATCAGTTGTACAATGACTGTGAAGTGAATGTTGTTAAATGTCTGCAACATGCAGAAGAAAGGAAAGGAATATAATGGAAAGAATGACATATGAGCTTGAGTAAAATTAATTACATTGAAAAGGAAGAAAGGAAAAAAAGAAAAAGAAAAAAAAAAAAAAACAACCAAACCTAAAGAAACTGATTCTCTGATGTAAACTGTAGCCACCCAGGAGCTGCCTCAAGAGCGGCTCAGCTCCCTGGAAAGCAGCTGCAGGGTGGACAGGAGTTGACAGTAACCTCAACAGACATCCCAACATGCACCATCCTCAATTATGCATCAGTATTCTTAAAGAACAACCAACACGTTCAAAGTCACTCAGGGCAGGAAGACGTGACTGATCAGATAGGACTACCCAGGACAAGACTTTATCAGAAATTCTCAGGACTGTTAAAACACTGAAAAAGCTAAGCTAATCTAACTTGCCACAAGTAGCACTATTTAAGGATATTACAGAATAACCCTAGTATGAAAAGCAAGACAAACACTTGTGAGAATCCAAAACCTTGTCATGGATTCAACTGCCCAAAAGCTTTTGAAAATAGCGATGTGCTCCACATCTCAACAGATGCAAACTCATGCGCCTACAACACTGTTCCACACCACTTTTTTTCTAATACCATACTTTTCTTCAACCTGTAAAAGAAATACTAGGGCTTGTCATGGTTTAACCCCAGTTGGCAACTAAGGACCACACAGCTGCTCGCTCAATCCCCCCCACCAGTGGGATGGGGAGAGAATTGGAAGAGTAAAAGTGAGAGCACTTATGGGTTGAGATAAGAACAGTTTAATAACTGAAATTAATAGTAATAGTAGTAGTAGTAGTAGTAGTAGTAATAGTAATTAAAAGAGAAAGCAATCAAACTC